GCGAAAAAATCTACATATATCCTTTTGGAAAATTAAGAGAGTGAATAATTTGATGAATTTCTCTTCAGTGAAATCACAACATTATCAACTTCAATTAGTGTGAGCAATAAGTGAAAGTTGTGTAATGCGCGCACTAGATTTTTAGTTATGCTATGTTGTTTTAACAAATAACTTGATACATTACTAAATATGTATTTGCCCAAACTGTATAGGGATGAGATGTTCTTATTTATATAAGAAATATATATTTTTACAGAAATTAACAACAGATAGTAACTTATGGATAATGGAAAAACCTAAAAAAATACGGGAATCGACTTCAAAGGAAAACACCGCCACAATGTAACATATAGAAAGCTGTTGTTTAATAATTAAAAAAACATATTTATTGTTAAAGCTATATCACTAGAAAAACATTATGTAACACACCTGTAAATATTGGGTTGCCAAATAAGTCCTTTCGGTTTTTCAGGGTGAAATAAAACTCAGTGTATTATAGACATTGATACCAGTTCTCATTAATGCCAGGCACGCCAGCGATATTTTTGATGTCCGCAGTTATAGGGAAGCTAACGGTGAATCAGACCATTATCTGGTCAAGATTTTATATAAACAAAAGTTGGAAAAGAGAGAAAAAGGGAATATAAGAAACACTACCACATACAATGTCGAAAAACTAAAAGATGAAGCTGTAGCTCAACAATCCCAAGAAAAAATAAGGGAAAGGCTGAGAGAACAACTGTCTACCAATATAAATATAGAAGAAAAATTGAAACATCTAAAAGATGTTCTCAGAGATGTGACAGAGGATATTGTAGACATCACACACAAAAGAAACCAAAATAACCGGTTTTGATGATGACTGCTTTAGGGCCACTGAAGAAAGAAACAATGATTATTTAATGTAGTATTATTTAATATTGCATTGGAGCAAGCGGCTTGGAAAAGTTGGATCTTAAAATAAAGAAGGAAAAACTCAATATATGATATCCTCAAAAAAATGAGGGACAGGATAACATGCAACTGCTCCACCACACTTTTAAGAAAGCTGGCAGTTTCAAAAATCTTGGAGCTTTAGTGACGTACAAAAATGAAGTTACTGTATAAATTAAAGGAAGTATCACAGCAGGCAACAGATGTCTCTTTGCATTACGGAAAATGTTGCGTTTTCGAAACCTTTCACGGGGGGCAAAGCTACTGGATTATAAGACCAATTGTCACTTACGCAGGTGAAACATGGGTCCTGATACAGGAATGCGAGAAGATCCTCCGGGTCTGGGAAAGGAAGGTCCTTCAGCAAATCTTTGGGCCGATATGTATAAATTACCAATGGAAAATAAGAAATAATAGAGAACTCCAAGTACTGTATAAAGAACCTGACATAGCCACTTACGTTAGATCAAGCCGTATAAGATGGCTTGGGAACGTAAAAAGTACGGGTGAAGATCGATATCCAAAAAAACTGTTACATGGTAAACTAGGAGGCAGAAGAAGGAGAGGAAGGCCCAGACCGATTGATGATGTGGAGGAAGATTTGCAGAAGATGAGGATTGGACAATGGAGAGGATTGGAGTGGCGTTGTTGTGGAGGACAAGGCCCTACAAGGGCTGTAGAGCCACGGAAGTAAGTATTATAGACATAAAATTTATTTTAACCTACAATATATTGACCATTATTTGATATGACTTTTTCCCATCTTTCCACTAACTGCATAATGCTAGATTCATAGAATGTCTGGAGTTTATTGTTAAAAAACTGATCCAAGTGATTTTTTATGTCCTCTTCCTTTTGGAATTTCTTTCCATTCATGGAGTTCTGCAGATACCGTAATAAGTGGTAGTCACTTGGAGCTATAGATCTGATGAAAAGGCAGGGTGGGGCAAAAGGCCCCATCCAAGGCTCAATGATTATCATAAAATATTACATTATCGTAAAATACTACATTATCATAAAATGTCCATTATTCATCTCCTGTTATCAATATTTTCCACCATGGGTCGTTTTTTTTTTACGTTTCCGTATGGAATCACAAACAGAACTGCGAATTGTGGCAAGATCGCAATACTTTCCTTACCTAGTATAGGTAGGAAAGTAATAACTTAAAATAGAAAGTAGAATAAGTTTATCATCGCTAATATTGGTTCGATTCCGATGATTTTTTTGGTAATTTAATTCCCTTTCAAAAGTTGTATTATACATTTTACCATTGAATACATACTTAGCGAGTTAGGCCCCAAAACATGTTTATTTTCTCTATAACTTTTTTCCCTGAATTTTCTCGGAAATTTAGTCCTGCATATCGGAAATTTGACCCGATCGCAATACTTTCCTTACCTAGTATAGGTAGGAAAGTAAAAAAGTAGCTTAACCTTTGTATAAACAACGAATTGAAGAAACAAACAAAACAAAACAGATTAATTGTGAGTACTTCAACATTTCATTGGGATTTCACAAGATCATTGGGATTATAGTTCTGAAGATGGGAGTAAATATCCCGAAACGTAAACTTGTTAACATATAATCACATTAATATATAACGTTGGTAATACAAGAAATATATTCAATTGTTGCTAATTGGAAGTAATTATTGCCAAATAAGTAAGAAAATTAGATATTTATTTTCAGAAAATCAGATTAAAAAACAAAACAACATTCCCAAACACCTATTTTGAAAATACTATATTAGATTTTTTTTTTAAATACAGTAAAAGCTCTCATTTTTAACTTTTTAAATTGAGTACACACAATCAAGAAACAAAATATAAATAAAAACTTAGTGAGGGTGGATATTAAAACATAGGAAATTTCTGGTTGAGTTCAACAAGTATACATATAAATACGTTTTTTACATAGTTTTTTACATAATCCGGCACTGTTACGAGCTTTATACCTCCAGTCCCTGATGGGTACAAATTCTAATATTTTTGGTACCAATTAGCTACACATTTTTGGCATGGTGTTCAACTCAAAATTCCATAGATTCCGGGCCATAATATCCCTGGTCCGACACTTTTACGAGCTTTATGTCTCCAGTTTCTGATGGGTACAAATTCTAATATTTGGGGTAAAAATTATTGGAATAGGTTTCAACTCCAAATTCCATAGGTGCCGGGCCAGGGACATGGTCCTTTTTTCTGCAACCAACAGTATTTGGTTTGGTAGTCATGGGAAAGACAATATGCCTTTCAACTACAGCTCAATCTTCATTCTTCAGTCGATTTCAGCAAAGCATCAAAATGTAGAAACCAAATAACACTGAGAATCCGGACAAGATAAAGGTGGGTGGCGAAACAACAGACCCATTAGCAACAATTAAATCATCTTCTACGAATTCGTTGAAGCAAAAAGAAAATTCAATCAGCGTTTTGATGTCCTTATGACAATATTGTGTGGGCAATAACGACGATCACAAATCTATGATTCAAGAAAACGGTGGAATAGAAAAGGGAAATGCCAAGTCGAATCCCAAATCTCACGTGCGGTTCACGACAGTTTTGGGTTTAGCGAAAAATAAGATGCAGAATTCCATTCCTCAAACACTTCAGTTTTCCAGGACCTCTCTACAAACTGTCGATTAAAGATGAAGCAAAAGCACTCCTAACAGATGCAACACCAGTTTCTACTCCAAAACCATCACTCAGCACAGCAGCAATCTCGGTAAGCAACAGCCTTCACATGTATGGTACAGCACTTGGCGCAGCAACAGTATCTACCACGCTTGGCACAGCAACTATCGTTACAGCAAAGCATTACTCGGCGCACTTGGCCCAGCACTCAATGCGGCAACTACCGCCACACCATTTGGTGCAGTAGCTCCCAAAACAGCAATCAGTAAGATACCAACCGAAAAGAAAATCGGTCCTGACCCAACCAACAAAGCAGAGATAGAGTCTAGACATGCAGGTTTTCTGCTGAATCCATGTGTACTTAAGACAGGAGAACTAGCTGGCCAGCAATCAATTACCGTTTGTAAAGTTTATAATAGGAAGAGAAATGGAGTAGAAACTTGGAATGGAGAAAAGAAACTAGTACTTAGCAATTAATTTTCAGCCACCACCCACCTAATTCAACTGAAGTCCATATTATTTAAATTAAGGGCGGCGGGAGAGGTAAGAACTTCTCAGGTGCTTTCTTAGTGCTTCAGGCGGAGAAACAGTATCTCCATAGAAACCAGTCAGCGACTCATCAAAGCAAACAGGTGTTATTTGGGTCTCAGAAAGCACCTGAGAAGTTCTTACGTCTCCCGCCGCTCTAAGTGCCTCTTATATAAAACTTTTATAAGGCCTGTTCTAACATATGGATCAGAGACCTGGACTCTCACATGTAATGAGGAGAGATATATCGTTAATATTTGACTCCGGCGAATATTTGAACCGGTAAGGAATAGAGAGGACTGGAGGCGGAGGACAAACAACGAAATTTATCAACTTTTTGGCGAGACTGACATAATTAAATTTCCTAGTTTGGTAAAAAAGTGGTGGGCTGGTCACGTTGCACGCATGCCGGAAGATGAAATACCCAGTAAACTGCTGGATGGGAGGCTCCACCGGACAAGAGGAAGACCTCGTCTCAGATAGGAGGACACTGTTGCCAGGGATGCCCGCAACCTACTCAACATCTCCAGCTGGCGAGCGGCGGCTCAAGATCGAACTACCTGGTGAAGACTTGACGAGGAGGCCAAATACCACATCGGTCTGTAGGAGTAGTTCCCAAATTTATCCATTGGGATGACATGTAACAGAAGCGAATCTGTATGTCTACTTTGATAATTTGAAGAATTACAAGATACTACCTATACGTTTGGTGATATTTGGTACTGGTAGGCAGAACTAGTCTGGCAAGTAGGCCTTGTGGTTTTTGCCAATTTGATGATATTTAGTTTTCAACAAAAATGCAGGAGTTGAGTGAAAATTACTTTAATAATAATAAGTTTCTGAATTTATTTTCTTTCACATCTACTTCTTTGCCTTGTTTCAATAACATATAAGAAACCTCTCAGTTTGTTATTCATTCATTTTTGACAGCTTATTGATGTTTTCGATATGTCTTCATTCATTGAAATTAACACTCTGGAATTATATTTCCAAGAAAATCCTGAAGCAATGATGGATATTACACATCACCTTGATAGTATAAATGGTTGGAAACTTATTATAAGTGAACTGAGAAAATTCAGGTTATCATTTTTAAAATAAAATCTTATTTTTCAATCCTTTACCCTCCAATGAATTTCTAATGATTTCATAACTTATGTTTTTCGTTTTTGTTATTCTTGTTTTCATTGGGTATGTTCTATTCCATTTTCATATTTTATTTTTCAATTTAAGAAGATATAGCTATGGCTTTAGTATTTGTTATTGTGTTAAATTTTAAAGTATGCTTTTCTAGTATTGCTGTTCATTATTTAATTTATTTTATAATGTATGCCACTAATTGATTTATTTCATTCCTATGTTTATGAACTATAACTTTTGTTTATTTCATCAAATACATTTCTTAACCAAACTGTTATTGCTAATACCACATTGTGATCAGGTCATTAAAATTGAATTAAATTAATACAAAATTTTCCCTAAATATTTTTATATTTTTATTTACATTATCGCCATTGAAGTACCTGTTAACCTCTAATATAACTTGAAAGAATTACATTAACTGTCATACTCTAATAAGGTACTACTACACTATTAGGGTTGTCAGGCATCCTACATTCAATAGGAAATTTCTACAATTCATATGGTGTATACATCTTAGTCCCAGATTGGTTACCAAGAGCCTGATTTTGCTAGCAGTGCATGTTGTATTTCAATTTATTTTTTAATAATATCCACACGTTTAAATTTTTCCGAGTTCCCATTGTCTCTGTAAAATATTCCTTCAAAATTTCGAAGTGCTGGAGACACATAATCATTTAAGCAGGTCAGTCTTACCTTCTTCGCATAAGTGGGCAAGTCTTACATACACAGTATAAATTCTACCTTGTTTATAGTAAATGGCAAAAACTAAATGATTTATATATTACATCTTTTCTATTCTCAAATACAACTTTGAAACCATTAGAATCCATTTTATGGACTGATGATTACTTTTACTTTGAATTGGGGTTCTTGAACAATTAATATTTCAGTTATTTTTAACTTGTGTTAACTTTTCCATTAACAATGGCATTGAAATGTGTAAGTCTTTACCTTTTGAAGTAAACAGAGAAATGCTGCTTTTTCTATTTTTATAGATTTAGGTTTCTCTAATTATCTTTTATTAGTTATAGATTTTGTTAATTTATTAGTTACCATATATTCAGTAGCACCAAAATCAACAATTAACTGATATTGTGAGGAGCAAATTAATGCATTTTGGTAAGAAAAAACAGATAAACAGAATATATCTTTACCAGTATAATCGTCAGGGTCCAAATCCGTTAGAGCGGTGTTTACTATGTTTCTTATTACCCTTCCTTGTCTATGTTATAGTTTAAAAAAAGAAGAGCAGGTGTGTTCCAATGTGCATTTTATTTTTGTTTTCCATTTGAGTAAAAACCTTCTTCTTTATACCACGGATGGATAAGAAAGAAATGCTATTACTCACATCATCAAATTGACACTTATTTTGTTTATTAATTAATTTTGATTTTACAAAACCAAAAGATAACTTGTCAGGAGACAGTGTTTCAATAACTGTTAATGCCATTTGATACTCAGGTGCCCAAGTAAATAATAAATGGCACTTCTTTATTATATTTTATTGAAAATAAGGCCGACTGCTGCAGGTCATATTTATAAGAATGAACATTTAAAATATTCATGATGTTGAATTTTTTAAATTATTGGCGATGATAATATAATCCTTAATCTATATAAAGTCCTCTATTCTGTAACACAATCATTGTAATTTACCATTGATCCATTATTTCATTTTCTTTTAGAATTCCTGTGTATGTGGATCAATATTTGTTAGAAAGATCAAAATCACCATCAATGTTTTTAATCAATGCACTTATTATGCGTGCATGCACTGTTAATGATTTTAAAGAGATTCTGAAAAAATGCAATTTGTTGGACACCTTGGCATTTTTGGAAGAAAATGGTAAACAAATTTCTTTTTTAATTATCAACTTGTTATGCTTGCCCTTTAGAACTTATTTCCAGTTTAGAATATTAAAATTTAATACATAATTAGCTAGTTTTTCTACTTACCTAAGAATAAGATTTCATGTGCCTGTTTTTTATTTAATCTTTATCCATGTTTATTCATAAATGTATAAAGTATAATAAATGCAATGCAAGAGACTTTATTTGGGTACATTCATAAATTTATAACTTTGTTTTCCTAATTTGGTTCCTATACTTGGTTGTTACAAAAGTCTTAGTGCATTTATTCATTAAAATCTCCATTTTAATCCTTATTCGACTCAGATGTAAATAATGCATATATCATTGTATACTTCAACCTATCCTTTATTTAATTATGTATTAAGATTGCCTCTGTCAATGGAAAAGATTATTATTCGATCTCTTCTGAGGCACCACTGAAAAATGGCAGCAGCTAAAGAAGTTTCTTAGTTGAATGGTGAAAATGTAGTTTTTCAGCATTTTGGCTCAGGTGTTTCAATTTCGGAAACAGCAGCCTTCAAGAAAAACTTAGATCACGTTACCTTTCAGAGGTGAATGATACCGAATTAGTAGTCTGTCAGTCATGTATGACCAAGATCAGATCCTTAAGACTCAATTAAATATATCAAAGTATTTATATTTATTTTTTTAATACAATGAAAATATCATTAATATTTAACAGTTGTAATATCAACTTCAAAGCTGTAAACATAGATGGATCTCATAAGAGCTTTAATACAAAGCAAAATATTGAGCTAAAATTTTAATTTTTTGATGGCAACGAAAATTCTTATTTGAGAGTTTTTGGATGTGGAAAAAACTAATATTGTCTTTGTTTATCCCCAAAAAATACATTTGATGATATAATATGTACAAAACATGCTTTATTCTTATTCTTGATCGAATATCGACAACATACTAGATTTTGTGCATGTTATCTTGCTTTAGATACCTGTCTGGTTCAGGAAAAAGATTTATTTGGCATACAGCTATATTATGATTACAATATTGAAACAATTAGTACTGGCCTAATCATCAAAACAAGTAAAGTGGATTTAAATATTTTTTGATGGAGAAATAAAGTTGAGATTTGTATTTCCAACCTAAAAAAAAACCCTTAAATACAAATAATCAAAGATACCGAAAAATAAAATAAAAATTTCTCAAAATTTCGCCTTGGCTGGAGCCTTCAATTTTTGTTTGAAAAAAATTTAATGTTAAAAATAAAATTGAATCGACGAGTAACACTCCCATTCCTTCTCCGATATCCACGGAGGCAAGAACTAGCAGACTTGAAGGCCCTTAGGTAGTATGATGTCTATAATATACTGCTGCATAAAAATGGTAATCTGTTTTTGCACAATTCATATAACATACCAATTCATCAAAATACAGTCCACTGCATAAATAAGACGAATGTTGCCAATAAATTGAATATTGCCTATTTTGAAATCATGAGAGTTATTTGCCTTAATTCAATTAAAGTTTGGAAAGAGCAATAATTTAGCTTTCCAACAGTTGTATTACATTGACATAAAGGAAAATCCTGTGGAGTTATGAATATTTTATTAAACAGCATGAAAAATAATCCTATAAAATTAAGTCCAAACATTTATATTTTTTTATTTCAAAACAAATTCATATTTAATAGTTTCAGTGGATGCTAAAAACGAATCTGAATCATTTTTCCATGACAAAAATTGACTTGGTCTACTTTACTGGAATCTTCTTTGGGTTTTTGTAGTTTATTGTTCATTAGAATTCATTCATACAATTATCAAATAAAAAAAAAATCATAAATTTTTTTTTTCTCGACTCCTAGGCCAAATGGGTCTAATACTGTTCAACTTGGTATCACCAAAAAAAAATTGACCCGTTTAAGTCTGTTAACTTCTCTTGTTAGTTAAAGAAAAATTTGATCCTACTACTGCTACTGATCCTTACAACCATGCCTATATTATGGTATTTTCAATGATACATTTTTTGAAAGGTCAGCACTTTCAACAATGGTGTCAAATCAGGATGTGGGGGTTTTTTGCCTCAAAAACCTAGGATTGGCATCACCAAAAAATTGAACTGCTAGAAAAAGATGGGTTAAAAAAAGTGGCAATGATAACCTATATTTGGAAGAATAATTTTTGTGTGTTGATTTTATAACTAAAGTTAATTAGAACTTATTTCATTCATAAAGACTTTTGTATTGACCTAGTAGTATTAACCTTCTGAATGCTTATCATTTTACTAACCATTGCTATTGGGTTTTCCGGAAAATAATGTGGGATTTTGTTTAAAAAAGGAAGATTTACAGCTGTTCTATTTAATCAAACTAGTCTCAACTGCTATCAATATATTTCTGTCAACATGTTGACAACTTTTCTATTCCCTCAGAATAGAATTTCCCATCTTTAGAATTGATAAACTCCAAAAATACATTTTCTAATTCCCTTTGTCCATTAAATTTTGTGTCATGTAAGTAGTGGTCCAGGTGTCTAAAAAAATGATAATCCATAGGTGAGATATCTGGAGAGTAGGGCGAATGTGGCAGAGTTTCTCATCCAAGCTCCAACAGTTTTTATGACTTTGCACGTGAGACATGTGGCCGGGCATTGTCATGCAACAAAATGGGTCCCTTCTGATTGACCATTGATGGCTTCATTATTGCCAATTTCTGATGCATTGCATTAATTTGGTTACAATAAGATTTGAAATTGATGGTTGCTGATTTAAGAAGCTGTTGTTTATCAAACCAAATGAAGCCCACCAAAAAGCAACCATCACCTTTTTTTGATGAGTTGAGGGCTTTGGAAAATGTTTTGCTGCTTCTCCTTTCTCGAGCCACTGTCCAGAATGTCTACTGTTATTGTTAAGTATCCACTTTTCATCACAAGTTACAATCTGGACAGAAAAGGGTCGTTTTTGTTACAGCAAAGAAGTATAGCACAAACTTCATAACACTGGGGTTTTTTTGCGGTCATTAAATGTGTGTTGAACCAACTTTCAAGCTTTTTTACCTTTCCAAGCGCCTTGAGGTGGTCATCGACAGTCGATTTGCTAAGGTTAAGTTTGCAAGTTCTGGGGTTTTCTCCAACGTTGAACTGTGAACTCATTAATGCTGCTCTCGCCCCAGATTTGATTGATGTTTTTGGCTGTCTGGGCCCAATTACGGGCGAGTTTAAACTCGTAAAACAAAATTATTCGAAAATCACGCAGTGATATCTTAGTAAAGACTGAATTATTTCTAAGCAGCGAAATACGAAAGAGGTAAACAAACATTATCGTTTGGAAGAGGATTAGTAATTGTTGACATTCAGGATAATGATTAATCCAGTAAACGTAAACAGTTTGTTATATAGAGGGGTATTTTAAAGAAAACTCAAAATCCTGCATTATTTTCCGGGCAACACAGTAGATGTTGGATTAATTAGTTTGTATTTTCTTATAATTATTTTTTTTTATTTTCAAATTAATGTGTATTTACTAGGTGTATTTCTTTAATACAGTTGTAAATATCATGAATAAATAAAATTTTAAAAAAAATTGTGTTTATGAATTCAGAATATTAATCATAATGTGAGGCCCACTATTTGCATATATTATTTTTCTTTGGGAGAATGTATCTCCAAATTATAGATAACTTTTTCTTGTATTTACACTTATGATTAATCACATCTGGTTCATTCCTGAAATTTTGACGATCCAAAGCGGACTATGTTGTGAAAAATGTGATAGAAACTTTTATTTTTTATAACATTTCTATTTTGATACAAACATGTAAAAAATAAAAAATTGAACAAGAATACCTTGGAAGAACTTTTGTCAGCTAATTTCAAATTTTATCAACACATAAAAAGCACCCTGGTGACTGAGCGTAGCAAAGTAATCCTCTATAAGACTCTCATCAGACCGGTTTTAAGTTATGCATCAGATACCTGGACGATAACCAAGGCAGCCTAGCAGGACCTCCTAATATTCAAATGAAAAATTCTGAGAAGAATTTATGGTCCAGTGTGTGTGAATGGAGAGTTGAGAAGGAGAAAAAAATCAGGAGATCTACCAGCGTTTTAATGAGGCCAATATTGTCAATTTTATAAGGGCAGGCCGTCTCAAATGGGCAGGTCATGTGGCCAGAATGAGAGGAGACATAATCCCAAAGAAGGTGTTGGTTGAAATTCTGCATGGAGTGCGACAAGTAGGAAGATTAAAGTTAATATGGAGGGACAGCCTGGTCAAAGATGCCAGGAAGCTAGGAGTTTGCGACTGGATGGTTGCAGCACAAAGTAGGGACCTCTGGCGGATGCTGTTGGCGGAGGCCATGACTCTCTAAGCGGGTTGGAGAGCCAGTATAGATGGATAGATAGAATTTCAAATTTTAGAACTTTTTTTTGTTTACCCCATTATTTTTTATGAAGAAATTCAAATGAAACCATTTTTCTTTAAGAAATTAAAAAATGTTAAATTATACATCAAATGAGTACCACTACTTAATAATTTGACTGGGTGGTATAGTCAAAAACAACTGCCAGTAACCAATTTTTACCAACTTCGTTGAAAACTGAGATAAAAAGGTCTCTACCTGCAGCTTAGAAATGAGTTCTCTAAGTGAAATATTTCAAAGAATAAAATTTGTAGAGCATCAAATTCTGCATACCAACATTTTAAAATTATATCAAGTACACCTTTTGAATTGGGATTCATCACTGCTCCCTAAAATCCTGTTGCTTGGAGGCCTACAAGTTGAAGTATATTTGTAAAAACAGGCTTATGAAAAAAAAAACTTTTTTGTTCTGATAAACCATTCAGAAGTTACAGAAAACAAAAATACTAAAATTTGAAGGTTTGTCAAGCTGCCAAAAAATTTCTCAAGGTAAGGCCCATGCTAGCATATTCATTTTTTAATTGTTTTCACCCGTATAAATGTTGAATAAGTGAGTAATAATGAGTAAAGAATGAGTAATAAATGTTGAAAAATAAAAAATTATATATGTATATATATATATATATATATATATATATATATATATATATATATATACAAGTTTCAAACCTCTAACTGACAAACCTACTATTTTTTAAATCAGCAACTTTGAAATGGCAGACAAGGTTCATTTTACTTAGAATAACATTCAATTTCATAATTCACATTCAAATCTTATCTTGCTATCAGCACCCACTTAAACCCTGGCTCCAGTGTTTTATAAGTTAAGTCTCAACTGGTATTGCTTGATAATTTTTATGAGAATAGAATCTTAAAACAAAACCGATAAGAAAGGAGCACAGGAGTAGTCTCCAGAAAACAGTTTGACATTGTCACCTTTTTGAGAGAGAAGAGAAACAAATGAAGTCACTGGCTAAGGATTGAGTTGGTGTAAATGGATTAGTGCTGAAAAGCACCAAAAAAGGAGTTAAAGAAGAATAGTCTCTTCTGTCAGTTTATATTTTTTTTTTTTAGAATTTCTTGATGTATTACTTTCTCAAGATTATGGTTTCAGGAAAAGTTTTGAAACCTATCTTATGGTGTCGAATAAACCCTTTTACATTTTTTCTAAGCTTAAAGGATTTTCTACCCATAAAGTGCTTTACAATAAATGAATTTGCTCATTGCTGTGGCTAATGGTTCTACATGGTTACACAATTATTAAACTTGATTTTGAATTTCTTATAGCTACTTTTGATTTTTGAACATTTATATTATATCTGTCTATTGATATAGAACCACCAAAAATAATTATTCAGCCTGGAGAAGATTATGAAAAAGTATTTGTATTTTTTGGTGAAGATTTGAGATTGGAATGTGTTGCGACTGGTATTCCTCCCCCTACCTATCAGTGGTTTTGTGACAATGTTGCACTTCCCAATTGTAATTCATCAGTGATGATTATGCCTGATTTCAGGTATTTAACAACATTTTTATGTTACCTATGGGTAAAGAATAATGTTATACTATCAAAACTTTCCTTTAAAATAATCACTGCCATTATTTACACAATTAAAGTTTTTGAAGTATTAGTCTATGTTTCTTTATGTTTTGTTTTGATTTCATGTACTAATTGATTTTTTTGTTTTCATTCAAATAATGTTTTAGAGAAAATACTGAAGGAGAATACTTTTGTGTTGTTACACAATGTACAAAAGACTGTGTAATTGAAGTTAGATCAAATATTGTTGTTTGTACCCTTCTTGATTCACTGCCTGAGTTTGTTCAGAATCTACAACCAAAACTTGTAGTCCCTTTTGGTGCTGAAATAAAATTAGAAGTAGAAATATACTGTCGATCTAAATATAAAATTGAATGGATTAAACAAAATCAAATTCTTGAAGGAAAAAATGACTGCATCTTGATTGTAAGTATATATAAATACACACACACCCGCACAATGGTTGAATCAATTTAAACTTATTGGATTCACTTATGTTACAAATGTAATAGGGCAAGCTTTGACTCAATAAGTGGGTCATAACACCATGTAATAATAATAATAACTTATAACTACAATTATTAGAAAAATTTTAATATATAGTTAAATGATGGATAAGAATTTACTTGCAATTCAAAGGTATTTTCAAAACTGGCATGCACAAACATGCCAATTTTAGGAATTCCATTCCGCAGTTGCCAGTTTTCCTAACTCCCGGCACCTATCGACGTATTCACGCACTCTTTCCCTGGGCAATTGTTCGACAGAATTTAACTGGAATAATTGCTATTCGGGTATCAAGTCCCTTGAAACGCTTGTGGACTATTGTCACCATCTGATTGAATCGAGCAGTGGATTTTAGTAATTCCGGATAAGATGCCTTACACGCCTTCGTGGGTCCAGTTAATTGTGATTGATAAATTAGCATCTTCTCCTGTTCAGTCCAACGCCCCACTCTCCCATAGAAGCTACCATATCAACACGTCTTAAAAATGTATTTACAGTTGTATATACAGTTAGTAAAGTTGTATCAAAGTTTGCAAGGCTTACTCTTTTTTAGATATGTTTTCGCTAGTCGATGAAACTAACTGAAGCTTGTGCAGATTCCATCTGCATTTTCATATATTCTAATTATGATTTTAACTCTATCAATTCTTTCTCCATGCCAACATGCAAATTTAATTTCACCAGTTCAATGTCCAAATCTACCATTCCTATTTACTTTATTTATACGGGTTCTAATAACCCTTATACCTATCACCAGTGTAATATTTTCATCTTTACGAAGATATCTTAAAATAGAAAGCTACAGCAATTCATAAACCTCACCTATCCACTTAGTGAATTGAACATATGTTTGACAATCAAAATCAAATACATTTATTCTTTATAATTACAATTTAAACCAACAACTTTAATCAAGATTCATAATCAAACTAATATTAATTTAAACTAAACTATTTCTACTCAAGAATGAGTAACTTACAGACTAACCTAAAAACTAACATAAAGAATTATAAACTAATAAATGCAATTATAATAGTCCATTACAGTCTGTATAGTTTTATTTCTTTTTGAATTATAAAACAGCATAGGACCTGTCCAGATCCATTTGTCTGTTTCCGTAATTCTTGTATCGTGGGGGTAAAGTGCATTTAACGTTATCACTCCGTTTTGCCTCTCCACATTGTATGCATATGGCTTTTTGTTTACATTGATTGGTCCAGTGATTCAATCCCAAACAGTTAAAACAACGCATGGGATTAGGAATGTATTGTTGGACTTTAATCATCTGAAATCCTATTCTTATTATTTCTGGAGTTTTTTGGTGTCAGAAATGTGATTATTTATGAGTTTGTAAAAATTTTATTTCCATTTTTTTCTTATTTTGATTCAAATTATATCGTTAATTTGGTGAGATAATTCATTTTTGTTTTCATCAATTCAAGAAATAGAAGGTCATACACCTAATTATTCCTTTACTAAAATTTAGTGTGTTATGATGAATAGGAAATTGACCACCAAAGTTATCACATTGTAGTAGTTTTTCTAACTGATTTGTATTTTTTTTCAATTAGTGATTTGCCATTTCTTAATTTTTTTAGATCTCCTACTAATTCTGTCAAGAACTTATTTATAAAAAAATGTGACACTTTCTGAAAATCATGTTCATCGGTCCTTTGTATAATGAGGAGTGTTGGACTGATTTTTATTGGGGTTATATTATCTTTATGTTATAATTTAATATGACCACGAGGTCATTTTCTTTTTGCCTTGGGGCTTCTAAGGTCTACGGGGATAAATTAATTAATTAATTAAAAAGAAAACTATATATTCGGAATAAAAAGAAAATGAGAGAGAAAAAAACAATATGTATATGTTAATTAGGAATTATTAAAAAGGAAAACAAGAAATAAATTAAATGGATTTGTTTCTTTTCTGTTAATAGTCTTAGTCTAGTGCAGAGTGACGTCCTATCTCTCCCAATTCCAAACACTAACGATGATTAATTTTTTTTTTTAGCATTAGAGTGAATATAAAGAGGATGTAAAAACATGTATGGCATATATGTAATGTATTTATTGTTAATACTTGATTATTTTTCAGTTAAAAAATATTAAGAAATCAGATGCTGGTAAATATAGATGTGTTGCAAAAAATTCTGCTGGAGAAATATATTCTGATGAGTGCCAACTATTAGTAAGTTTATTGTTTTACTCCTATGGCATTAAATCCTAATTTCATGTAAAAAATAGTTATAGTCTTAGTTAATTATTAGCTTATATTTTTTTTTATCTAGTGTTTATATAGATTGAATTTATTTTAGAAAGATTGAGAAAAAGCCAATTTTCTGTTACATAGCTTCAATTTTTAAACTGATTCTAATGTATTTTTTTCCATGATTCAACTTGAACAATCTTTAATAAAATCATCAGAAACAGTTTTGAGTTGAACCTATAAAACATAAATTGACTTTTTCTCTACTTTTTGAAAATGACAGATGTTCGCCTTTGATATGAAGCCGCTCATGTGTAAGTATGTATATGTAACACATTACTCAATAAGTCCCTGGCCTGACACATAGATGGCAACATTGATGACAGACCCATGTGATTTCCGAGTACTGTTAACCTTCCAACAGTATGTGTTAAAATGTCTTGCCATTCTGACCGTTACTTTAGAGATTACAGTTAGTGACCCCAGTTTTGTAATTTTCAAGACACTGGATAGACAGGAATTTCGTGTGTTGGATAACACTGTTTTTTGTTGAAGAAAAATACTGTTGAAGCCAAACAGTGGCTTGATAAGCATTATGGGGACTCTGCATCAAGGAAATAAACTGTTATTGACTGGTATGCTGTGTTTACAGACAGTCGTACAAGCACCGATATACTGAATGCTCTGGTTGCCCAAAATCGGCAGTTATCCTGGAAAACATAAAAAGTTTCCACAAAATGGTTTTTAAAAAAACGTAAATTGAAGTTACCTAAGATAGCTGACACCTTTAAGATATCAGGAGGTAGTGTGTTTACAATTTTACATGAAAATTTGGGCATGCTCAAGTTGCTTTCGAAGTGGGTGCCACATTTGTTCACACCGGACCAGAAACAACAACGCATCGACGATTCAGAGTGCTGTTTGAAACTGTTCAAGCGAAATAAAAAGGATTTATTGCATTGTTATGTGACAATAGAGTGGACAGCAGCTGGTGAGTCATCCAGAGCGACTAACAACTCAAAATTCGCTTGGCAAGATTATGGCATCCGTATTTTAGGACATGCTGGAATTTTGTTCATCAACTATCTTGAGAAATGCAAAACTTATCAATAATGAATATTACATTTCTAAAAAAAAAAAAATGTTTTTCTTAGTTAAACCAGAGACTTATTGAGTGATGTGTTATGTATGTATTTAAAATATAAAATTCTTTCTTTATTTTTTTTATGTTGTTACAGTCTTTAATTTGGAAAAATCGTCTCCACAAGAAACTTGCCGAATGCTCAGTGGAGATGGCAGGGTTCGAAAAAAAATAATAATCAAGATTCAATTAAATATTAATAACTGTCTAATTAGCGCCATGCTATTAATTGGTTGAATTTGTAAAATAGCAAAAACCATAAAAATAAAAATAAATAAATAATTTTATTAAAAAAAAAAGATTTGGATGCAGAGTGAGCTACGAACTCGGAACCTATGGGTTTAAAAACATATGTTAATTAACCTAAAAAACCTATCGAACCTTCTTACTCGGTTAATATTCATTTTCACTAATCCCTCGAATAGGGTTTAGGGGGGGTATCAAACCTTAACAGGTTCATGGATAGGAAAAGAAAATTCGGTGTACACCGTAAAACTAAAGTATTTCACACACGAAAATCCTTCGCGTGCCTCAACACTCCAGAGGTTCCGCCATCTGTCTCTCTCTCAACTCTCTTTTGTTTTTCCTCCCAATCATCTGTTGTTTATTCCAATCCGAAATAAAATGAATACTTAAAACTAAGGCTTATTATAAACTAATACTTATTATTAAAACTAATACTAACTAATTAATTTTATCTAACCCTCTTCGAGGTAATAAAATAAAACATTACTTTACGAACTATTTTTTTTTTTTTGTATTTTATTTTTCGTCACAATGTAGTGTTTATATATATTATATTTATTTTGGAAAGATAGCTCAATTACATTTCTAATTTATCACAAATGTAACAGATCTATCAGAATTAATTAAATAAACACATACATACATTCAAAGTGAAAAAATGAAAAACAATTTCTTCATTATATAATGTAGGCATTTTATATATAAAATAGTTATTATTTTATAGTAAATATAAATTATTTTATAGTATATACAAAATAATTTATTACACTTTGCTACAAGTTTTCTGTGTTAAACTTTAACTTAAAAACTAATTTCAAAATGTATTTGTCATATTTTAGGTGATGCTTGAAAAGAGAAGACAAAAAGGTAAATAGACTTAAACTATTTTTTTTTTTTTTCAATTTCATAATGACTCTTTAAATCAAATTCAGTTACTAAAACAGGAATAAAAAAAATATGAACCTGTAAAACAGGGAGTTCCCAAATTTTTTCAGCAGCAAGCACATTTATAGGTTGTGTCTTAAATAGTGGGCAACATGTTTTTGTTCATTGTAAATTGCAGATAAGTTATTGTTTATAAATTAAAAAAAAAATGTTAATGGTATGTATAAAAAAAAAAAAAATATATATATATATATATATATATATATATATATATATATATATATATATATATATATACATATTTATAGATACCAGCAGACATCTTTATCAATTCTAAAACTAATAAAATATATTTCTACAGAAAAGGCAAAAACTCCAAGTACAATGATTGTATTAATTCTATGTAGTTTTCTTATATTATATAAACACATTTTCAAATTAAAATTGAAAATTCATTAAGAGCGCCATGGGCTATAACTAATTATAAAATGGGTTAAATGAAATGTTACCAACAGTTTCATTCTTTTTTTTACTAGCAAAGAAAGAGTTTTATCAAAACAATAGTAATGATATTATATCGATAAATGAATTATCTTTTTTAAATAATTATTATTATGTATATAATAATAATTGTTATTATTGAATTCAATTCTATCAACTCTTGTTTGATTTTTAAATATTCATATATTTAATAAAGGAATTGTAAAACATTTGAATTGAAAACTCGTCTGTCTGCAGCATGCCACATAAAAAATTATTATGATTTAAAAAAATAAATTAAACTTTTAAAGTGAGCGTTCATACTTATAATTATACATAATATAATTATTAGATATTTATTAAAATAAATATTCAACATTTAATAGAAAACTTATCGATCTGCAGCAGGCAACAATAAAACTGTAGTGAAGGCGATTGCCGCTAAAGGTTATGTTAGACATAAGCAGACATATTTACGGTCACAATTGGCATCACCACTGTGCCCACGAGCTCTGGGTTGGGAACCCCTGCTGTAGAGTTTCATTTGTCAGAAACTCATTCCTTTATATTAAACTAGAAAGTGCAATTATTATAATAGAAGATAATCATAGTTTGCCATTGGATTTTCTCATGATTAAAGACTATCTAACGTTTATTGTTTTAACTATGATGTAATATTAAAATGAATTGATTACTTTGATATATTTTGAAAAGTCTTCAGTCGTAATGCATTATCTTTTATATTATAAATTAGTTAAAAATAAATACAGGATAATCATTACATTATGTGTCCACACTAAAAAAATACAATAAAATAAAAAAATTAGTTGAACTTAAACCATTGACCATACTCATTATTAACTTGTGACTTACTCAATTTTGGCGCACATTATCTGCTGAAGAGGGGGATAGAGATTCCCCAAAACGTTTATTAATGAATAATTTTATAAAAAACTATATTTGATTATTTATTATATTGACCTTAGTTATTTTTATATTGAATATAAAAAAAATAGTGAAAAGAAGAATTAAAAAATATATTAAAACACACACACACACACACATATACACACACACACACACACATATATATATATACATATATATATATATATATATATATATATATATATATATATATATATATTTATATATATATTTTTTTTTTCCCTGCTGTAGTAACCCTACAGAAGAGGTGTATATTTTTTAGAAGTGTGCATACACCATGCAAAAGCATATTATATGCATTACAGTGTTATTTAGTATATAACTATAAATATAACTTATTACAATATGTGTTGGCTAAAGATATTTAAGAAGAATGGTACTTAATATGTATTACAAGGAGAATATTTATAGATGTTTAAATAAAATAAATAACAATAAACGATTAAATAAAGTAAATAATAGTATCAGATGAATGAACAGTACCAGAATATACTAAGACAAAATACTCTAAAACAGAGGCAGAATCAAATACAAAAATTATGCGGAGAATAAACAAATGTTACAAATTTACAATTGAGTATCAACAAAATAAAGAATAAAATACATAAGTCTAACTTCAGAAGTATATTAAATAAAAGAGCTGTGCTGGAATGTCTTATAATTTTATGCTATTAATGAATTCCTTCAACTCCTTCTTGTATTTTTTGTATAGTATGGGTTCGGGAAGAGGCCATGTGTCTCCTTGCGTCAAAGAAGATTTCAGGAAGGTGGCTCTTTTGTGTTCGTATAACTGGCAGTCGTTTAAAATGTGTATGAAAGTTTGTGGGGTCAGTCCGTCACAATTGCATGCGTCTGTCGCTTTTAAGTGGAATCTGTTTAGATATTGGGCCGTGTTCAGTAAGGAATTGGGTTAGTTTATAATGGGTGCTTTTTGTTGTGTTGCAGTTTTGTGGGGTGATGTTTGGATTAACATGAAAAAAATCAAAAAACTGTAAAAGGGATATTAATTAATCTCTAGAATATAATGAGAAAATTCCGAACATAAAATCAGGTTTTGAAATCAATAATTAATAAAATACTAATAACAATTAAATCTGATCAAAACATTTATCTGGAATTTTTTTAAATTATATGATGCTTTTTATTTTTGATCATAAGTGATAAAAATCATATCTTGATCATTATTTTTGAACAAAATTTTTACAGTTAACAATAGTAATAATTCTTGACTAATATTTTTTTAAATAAAAAATATAATATTTTTGTAATCTCTATGTGGTGAATATTGTTGTCAAGTATTAGCAACAGAACTTCATTATTTCCAAAATTCATTAGACATTTTTCCTTACATAAAAATATATGTATATATAAAATAATAGTTTATTAATTCTGGACCGAGTCCTTTTAGAATAATACAAAAAGATAGAAATGTGGGCTAAGGATCCTGAGAGATACATAAACAATAATCACAAAGTAAATAAACAGTCATAATAAAAAATTATCAGTTACTTTCTGTCTTTAATCAATTAATAAAAAAAAAGAGAAAACATGAAGTAAAAATAATTAAGAACGATCTAATAATTTATTTACATATTTACAGTAATATCTCTTTAAAATTTTATGGGGACTGAATGGATAAGAAATGATTGAACAGACGGGATTTAAACGTAGGGAAGGTATTTGAACGACGGATGTAGGAAGGGATTAAGTTCCATAGGGATTAGGATAGAAAGCAGCGGTTCGGTGGGCCATAGTATATAGTTCTAAAGACCTAGAGCGGTACTACTGGGATGAATTGACAATTTGAATTGAAGGAGTTCGGAGAATTATGAAGGATGGCAGAATTGGATGATTTGGAAAAGGAAGGATGCCAGGAAATACTTACAATGGTAGGGAGGATAAAGCCACTTAACTCTTCATAAAAACGGGAAACAGGGGCATCAACATTTTTTATCACAATTTAATCATTATTATTTATGTAAAACCTTATCACTCAGTGAGTGATAATTATTTTTAATCAAATCAATAAACATCAAAGATCGATTTAAATTTTTATTTATAAATCAGGCATAATTTTTAAGTTAAAAATCAAATATAATAATTATTACATGATTTTGAGGAAAAAATAATTATTGATTTCTAACCCTGCATACCTGCATAGTTTGAGCCTCTAAAACAGTTAAACACTTAACCACTTAATGTTAATTAATTTAGGCATCATGAGAACTGAAATAATCAAAATCACATATATATAAACTAAATAAATCACCTCTCTCATCAATAGTCCAAAAAATACACATCAATTAGTAATAGTATATCTCTCCAGACTTCCAAACACTTATTGAAAAAAATAATGAGATAATATGACTGGGAGCTGTTGTTGTTACCTCTCTTTTCATCTTAATTGCTATGAGTTGTATGACTTACAACCATCAAAATGTTTTTTATTTATTTATTAATGAATCTTCTCAGATTTATAATTCTGTTCTTAAATATATTTGTAGGTTATTTACTTCTTATTTTGTATTATTATCACATTTTGGCTTGTTTAGTATCCTATTAAAATGAATGTTTGTTTCAGCATCAGCTAAGGTAGCATTACTTATTGCGAATAGCAAATATGATAATTTTTTTAATCTACAGACCCCTGTTGAGGATTGTCTTCTTCTTGCTGAAAAACTAGAAAAACTCAATTTCCATGTGATTACATTAATAGATCTAACACTCCGAGAAATGCATAGTTATATCAACTGGTTTTTTGAAAATTTACCTCCTGAAGCATATGGTATGTAAATATGTATTTATATACAAAAACACACATATACTGTCACAATCATAGAAATTGCATCACTCATTTCTTTTAATTATGTTGATTCCATTGAATGATTTTGTTTTTCTTTATTTATTTAGATTACAAGAATACTTTAAAAATGTTTCTCTGTTCTGTTTTAACTAATGCTTGGATAAAAGCTGTAATTATGACCAGTTTAAAAAAACTGTCCTCAGTAGAAAATATTAAAATTGTGACGTTACATGAAATGTGAAGGAATTTTCATGAGAAATAGTAAGATAATAGGGTACTACCAATCAATGGTAGTCATAGTTTTGGAAAAAAAAAAGGCACCATCGAGTGAAAGAAAGTTACTGGGAGGAGAAAAAAAATACACGAACAATTTAAATGTTTGTGGTGTGACTGTTTTTCAAATATTGTTTCAAAATTGGCAAAGAAACATCCGAAGATGTTGCAGATAGTAATCTGGTAAATAATATAAAATCTAATTAAATTTTTAGTGGGTGATGCAATTTCTATGACTGCAACTGTATGCAATATTAATTTTATAATTTTATTAATTAAGAATATTACTGTATTAGTTGAAACTTTTTTTTACTAATCCTTCAATTGTTTACTAGTACTTGTACTTGTTGTTTATCACTTATACTTACCTACTGGTACCAGTACTTGTGAATTATCATTAATTTAGAAGGGGAAAATTAATAAATTGTCTCATCTTGTGAGAAATTGATCATTGTAGGTGTATCAATGAAATTAATTATTTAACTTGTCTTTGTCTATCGGAAGTGGTGTAGCTCAGTGGTAGTGCACTAAGCTTCCAATGCTCATAGCCCCAGGTTTGAATCCCGGCTCATGGCAGAAAAATTATTTATTCTGTTTCATTGGCCATGGGGCGACCCTGGTAGAGAGACTTTCCTGCCATTACAAAATGGGCACCCTTAATTAAATAATTAATTAAGGAGGAAAACCTGGCAGTTGAGCGTGATCCTGGATCGATCCCCTCCCTCCACAACCATTGGCCTTGAAACAGTACTTTCCCTAAATAGTACTGAACCCAAGACCCTTCATGGGTTGTAGTGCTATAGGTTTTTTTTTTTTGTCTCTGCCTATAAAAATATATTTTAAATAGTTTAAGATATGAAATAGTTAGACAATCAGTTTATTACAGTTTCTGCCATGTACAAGGTAATATTTCTCTCTAATTCTGTGGCTAAGTTCCCTTTCCAAAAACTACATCTAAATTCATCTCAGTATCTAATTATAAACCACGGAGACTCTAACTGGAATCTGAGAATCTTTTAGTTGTTTTTTTTTAAAGTATTACATCCAGGGTACAGGGTATGATCTCCTTACATGAATCATAGGCGCAGACTTTCGATTTTGATTAGGGGAGGCGATGGACCAAAAAAAGGAGTTTTTGTTATGTATTAAAATTCAACATAATGGCTGTGAAACAAACAAATATAATATTTAATGTTTAAAATTAATTTTTTTATATGTTTATATAATTGTAAGGATTTTTATTTATTTATTTTTTGTTTTATTTTACTTATTGTGTATATTTGAAAATATCTAAAGAAACAAAAAAATACACTTGAATATATAACGTATGTGTTTAGATTAAACACGGGGGAGTGGAGCCAGCCTTCATATCATTGGTACATTTCTAGAACTTTTTCAGCTAAAAAAAAATGTAAAGAAAAATATTTGAATTAAAAAAAAAACCCGACTACAGAAATTGGGAAACTTCTATCCGCCCTAAGATAATGTACTTCCATATCTACTTAAACATCTTGGTAGATTCACACAGAAATTGACATCTACAAATATTTAAACTTGGTGTAATAGTTGGCTGCCTTTCACTACATATTATGGCTTCTGGCAAATATATTTCATCCCATCCACTGGAGCATGTAAATATCCGAAAGTCTTGAGTTTTGTTTGGGGGAGTGGGGGCTTAGGTACCAGACTACTACGTCAAGCTTAAATATGAGTAGATGTCAATTTTACTATCAATCAACCAAAATGTTTAAGTGAATATGAAAGCGCGAGATGCCAGCTTGTAGTACTAAACGATCCTTCTGCCACACCTACCTTCTCAGGAGGAAGAGGGCAGAGTTGGATAGATGTCACGATGGCTTCGCCTGCGCTGTCAAATCGCCTTATCGATTGGACCCTCAGATCTGAGACGAGTTCCGACCACCATGCTATAGTATTTTCAATGGTACAAAACATGGTAAGTTCCCACGGTATAAATAACGGTTACAGAACTCGGAAAGGAGATTGGAATGCCTTCCGGTCAACGCTGGAAGAAAAACTAGTCGACGATGACTGGGATGTGGCGGAAACGGATTACACTGATGACCTGGATTACAGGGTTTCGAGAATCACTGACATCATCCGTGATGCCGCTGAGGACTCTCTCCAGCACCGGAAGGCGAGAGCTAAACCTGTCCCATGGTGGACGCCGGTTTTAACCACCATGAAGAGAGAGCTCTACAAGGCCCGGCGTTCGTACCAGCGGTGAAGTTGCGATGAGAGGCGCACTACTCTTCGTGACGAGTACAGGTCTAAAGCCAGGGTATACCGAAACGAGGTGCGTCTACACAAACGTAGGTCTTGGGATGAATTCATCGTTGAGGAATCATCTAAAAACCCCTGGGGTATCCCGTACAAAGTAGCCTTGGGTAAATTGACTCCAATGCAAGTAATCGCAGCGATAAAGTATGACGGTACTCAGGCAAAAACTCCAGAAGAATCGGCGAAGATGTTTATTGCAGAGACTTACCCCAGGGATGATCCATCTCAAGATAATGAAGAGGAGGAGTTCGTAAGACGCACTACGGTATACCCTCCCGGCACGGACCTGTGCCCACCATGGGACATATGGGATCTTCGCACTGCCGTGGACAAGCAAAAGATTGGTCGTGCCCCCGGTTTAGACACCATTGACGCGTCAATTTTCAAGAACAGTATTCCCTATATAGAGGAAAGATTGCTGGCTATTTATAATGATTGCCTAGACAGGGAATACTTCCCAAGAATCTGGAAAATCGCTAACGTCAAGCTCATTTACAAAGGAGGAGACAAAGATAAGCAATTAGCCAAATCTTATAGACCTATATGTCTCCTCCCAGTCATGAGCAAGGTGTTAGAAAACCTGATACTCACCAGCCTACGGCCAGTCTTCTCGAGAGCGAGCCATCCACGGCAGTACGGATCCTCTAAAGGCAGGGGAACCACAGATGCCCTGCTGAGAGTGCGCTGTGATGTCGAAGAGAAGGCGGAGAAGTATGTTATGCTCCTCCTGTTTGACATATCATCCGCCTTCGATAGCGTCTGGTGGCCGAGCGTACTCCAGCAGTTGCAAAGGCATGAAGCCCCCAGCAACTTGTATGGCTTGATCAGAAGCTATCTCCACGATAGGACATTGAAGATTAAAGGTAGCTTCTATGAAGTAGAAGATACAGTGGAAAGGGGCTGTCCACAGGGCTCTGTCCTTGGCCCTGCCCTATGGAAACTGGTCTTTGACGAGTTGCTGGGAGTGCTAGAACAGGAGCGGTTCCCCGCCACTGCATATGTAGATGACCTGGCTGTTGTAGTGGCCTCGAATAGCAGGGCCAGATTAAAATATGAAGCTGAACGTTGTGCCAACCTTGTAGAAGAATGGTGCGAGAAAAAGAAGTTAAGGATGGCGGGTTCCAAGACTCAGGCCATCCTCTTGAGAGGTTCGACCGATAGGGCACACCCCATAACCTTGGTGATACAAGGTTCCAGAATATGTCCAAGTGAGGTAGTCACCTATCTTGGAATTAGGATTGGGAAAAAATTCAACGTGACGCCTCACTTGGATTACTTAAGGAATAGGATAACCTTAGCCCTTAATGGTCTCAGTCGCATAGGGGGGGCCTTTTGGGGCCTTAGATATCCAGCAACTATGTCCATTTATAAAGGAGTAGTTGTTGGTATCCTGAGATACGCGTCCCCCGCACGGAACCGGAATCTCTCGTACCGTCAGAAGCGCAAGTTGGCAACAATCCAGCGGGTGGCCCTGCTTAGAGTAACCAGGTCATACAGAACTGTGTCCCATGAGGCGGTGCAGGTCTTAGGAGGAGGTATTCCTCTCGACCTCCTTCTGCGGGAAGACCTTTATCGGTACAACATTAAGAGGGATGACTTGGCGGATTTACCAGCAAACATTCGGGAGAGGATTTGTGATGACCCCAGAAGATGGAAGATGATCCTCCGGGAGGATACATTGGAACAATGGAATCGGCGATGGGTGACAACCCCAAACGGGTCCACACTAAGAAAATTCTTTCCCACCATTAAATCGCGCTTAGAAAAGAAATGGATCCTCCCGGACTACTGGGTCTCACAGATCCTCACGGGGCATGGGGGTTTCAGAGCAAAACTTTTTAAACACGGTAAAAATATCGACCCCTTATGCCCCACTTGTGGAGTACCTGAAACCGCTGAGCACATCCTTGTAGCCTGCACCAGCTATGAGGCACTGAGGGCCAAATTAATGAGGGATACAGGGCTTTTCGTTCTTACAGAAGGACAATTACCCCAACTAATGTCTGAACAAAACTACCCGCACTTTAAAAGTTTCGTATGCGGCTGGAAAAAAACTGTGGGCCCAACCCACTTCTCCCTGGGAAGGCGTGAAGAAGCAGTACCTGGAAGGCCGCTAATTAGGACAGGAGAAGAAGATGGAGAACAATAACTAAGTGACAAAATTATCAAGCAGGCTGTGTGCACAGCAATTTAAAAATGTAAATAGATAAACATGCAACAGTGATTTGTTATACAATGTGTATCAAGTCACTGCTGCAAACTCCCGTATTGTCTTAAAGGCAGGGTAGGGAGGAAAATAAAATAAAATAAAAATAAAATAAAATAAAATAAGTGAATATGAAAGAACATTTCCTTAGAGTGAATAGAATTTCCCAACTTCTGTAGTCAATTTATTTTTAATTTAAATATTAACAATTTATTTTCATAAGATATCATCAGCACCATGTTATACTTAAACTATAATAAAAATGTTTTTAAATATTTTGTGCTCAAATTGTTTCTAAACATTCACGAGATCTCTCTGAGTAATTACAACCTTCAAAGTTAAAAATCGGTCAAGCCATTCACTTTGATTAAACACACTTTACTCAGTAATTTGCCAGAATTTAAATCTATTAAACACATTTTATTTGATCATGGTTCAATATTTTTAGCTCAAATCAAAACACAAAGGGTATCTCACCAATTAATGTGAGCCATCAAACTTAAAAATTGATCCAGCTGTTCGCTTAAACAGGGTTACAAAGCTTTTTCCAAATTGACTAAACACATTTTATTTAGTTACGGGTCAGTATTTTTAGCTCAAATTGTTTCAAAACAGTCAAGAGATCACTAAAAAATTTGAGCCATCAAACAAAAATTAATCCAACCGCTCGCTTACAAAATCGTTACAAAGCTTTTTGCAAATATATTAAACGCATTTTATTTAATACCTATATTTATACCTAATGCCTAGTATTTCGCTCAAATCGTTTTAAAACACTCAGGAGATTTCACCTGAGCCATTCAATTGAGCTATCATACTTAAAAATCGATCCAGCCGTTCGCTTCAAAACCGTTAAATAGCTTTTAGTGGATGTTCTAAACACATACCCTCGTTTTGCTTCGCTTAGTCGAGTAAAACGTGAAAAACATCTTTGATTTCTTAGTGTGTATAACCTCAAATATACATACAATGTTTTTCATAGGCCGACTAGTTTGCTGCAGAAAATGTGATAAGAATATCATGTGAAAATTGAGAGGTGATTGAATCATAAAATCCTAGGATATGTTAATATATATTGTTATCTTTGAATATATAGAGTATTTTAAAGAGTTCTGGAAGGAACAGATTTGAACCAAAATGAAACCCGGCCTGTAGAAGAGGATACCTCAGAAGAGGATGATTATATCGATGAAGAAGAATTGCAGGAATCCATCTCCAAGATGAAACTCGGCAAGTCAGCAGGACTAGATGGAATCACTCCGGAAATGATGAAATATATGCGAAGTAAAGGCCAGAAGATGTCTCTCCATCTTTTGAACCTTGTCTGGAAACAGAAGATGATCCCGAAGGACTGAGAAGTCTCAGTCATAGAACCAATATATAAGGAGGGAAACAACAGAGACTGCAACAATCATTGAGGTATTTCGCTCCTTAGTGTTCTCAGTAAAATATACTCTAGAATCCTAAAGGCCAGAGTTAGAAGAATCATAGAAACCAAGATCGAAGACGAGCTATATGGATTCAGGATTCAAAGAAGCATACAGGATTTAATTTTAACCATGCGACAAATCACACAGAAGATTGTCGAGAAGGGTAAAGAACTCTCGGTTTTGAATTTTCATTATTTTATATTTGAAGGAAGATTTTACAAGGAGTGATCTGTGTCATAGTCAGCACCTCTATAACTACGTACATCTTCAATGCTGGATGTATGTCTTTTATGTACCAGTATGTGGTCTATTTGGTTTTTAGTGTTACCATCTGATGATATACAGGTTTCTGTGTGGATTTCCTTGTGCTTAAACTGTGTATCCATTATCCTGAAGCCATTTTCTGTAGCAAAGTCTATTAATCTTAGCCCATTGTCATTGAAATCTTGGTGTTTGCTTTGCATACCAATGGTTGATTTAAAAACTTCTTTGTCCACTTTCGCAATAAAATCGCCCTGAATGATTTTTACGTCATATCCAGGAATTTCTTCTAATTCATTTGTGAGGGTCCCTTTGAAGTTGTCTTTAACCTCCTCTTCAGTTAGGGCATATAAACTAATCAAGGATACATTACAGAACTTCACTTTTATCCTTATCTTACACATTCTCTTGTTTATTAACTTATAATCTATTAAAGCATGCGTTAATGATTTTCTTATCATGAAACCTGTTCAAAAAACATTGTTTTCATCTCCACTATTTATCATTGTGTACCTGCTCAGATTCTGAATCTCTGCATTGTTCCATTTGCTCGCTGCATGATTTGTTGTAATTTTGCCTGAACTTGGTGCATTCCTTAGACTTGTGTTGTCTGCACTTGACACACTGAGGTAAGCGGTGACTATAGCTTCAAGTGTGGCCATGTGATTGGCAATTATGGCATTGGACTATTTCCCTTATGGTGCAGGGTTTTTTAACAACTATACTGGTATAGTAGATAGGAGTTAGTTTACAGATGTTTTCGACCCCTGGAGTGTGCTCTAGGTCTATCAAAAATAGTGGTAGGGCTATTTTGTTATTTGCATCCTACTGCTCTTTATATTGTTAACAATTTGACATGGACAAATTAAATTTAACAATGGACATTGAAACCCAAAATCATCAATTGTTCTTAAGTTGAGTTGAAGGGCGGAGGCCTCATATCACTACTCTTAGTGCTCTTTCTTGATAAAACTGATAAATGTGAAATTTCTCCTTTGTATCTGTCAATTATTTTAGAATTTTTTTTGTAAGTTTCTGGTGGATCCAGCATCAATTTGGTTTCATTAATTCGACTATGGCCTACCTATTTACCATTGTCAAGTATTTTATTTAGGTTCTAACAAAATAACAGGAATTTTTTTATGAAAATTGGTGGAAATTTATGCTGCTTCCTCTGATAAATTAGATAATAACTGGTATGGGTTGCCACTTTGTGGGAGACGATGTAATTGGTGTGTTTTCAGATGTTATGAATATAAGTTATGCTTAATGTTTTTAATTAATTTTTATGAAATGATGAGAAATATTTTTTTTCATTTAATTTAAGTTTTGAGTATTATAATTTGTAATTTAGTAATGAATTACTTTTATTTTAGCTTTTGTCTGTTATGTTGGACATGGATTTTCAATTGCCAATAATAAATTTATGATGCCTGTTGATTGCCCAAAAGAAAATGAGTATCGTATATTTGATTGTATATTGGATGAACTTCTTGTTAAAAAAGCAGCAGAAAGTAATCTGAAGTTGTTAGTTCTCGTCTTAGACATGTGCCTAGAAGAACCTAACAGGTTGGTAAATCAGTTTAATTATTAATTACACTTTATGAATTATAATTATGAATGAAGAACTACCTCTGAATCCTCCAGTGAATCCAGTGATTATGAACCATGGGTACACTGGTTCAAATCTGAGAATATTTTAGGGCATTTTGTTGAAGGCTTACATTCAAGGAAAAAAATTATCTTAAATACTTAATGGTTGACCGTTATATATTTTAGAGGAAGAAGATGGCCCGGGGGAGAGGGGGAGGGGAAGAGGTTTGTAAAGATACTAAAATAGTGGAAAACTATTTTATTTCAAGCCAACGTTTCGATCCGACTTTGCAGGTCTTCTTCAGGGCTAGAACATACATTATACAACAGGATATAGAAAATTGTGGAAGTCAGATAATATTTAGATAAAAATTATAAACAAGGTGAATAAACTTATTGAAATTATATACAGTAAGTACCTTGAAATATTAAGAGCAGTAAACTATATAAACAGAGTAAACTAAGTAACAAGATCCTAAACTGAAGTAAATAAATGGTAACAATTCCTGTAGTATAATATATAATAAAATATATGCAATTATGAATATACTCCTAAAGATCTCAAGGAGAGATTGGAAGAAAAGTAAAAATAATATGAAATAATGGACATAAACGGATGTGAAGAAAAATAAAATAAAATAAATAAAAATAGAGACTTATGTGTGCATTCAGCAAGTGGAAACTATATCACTTATTTCAGATTGCTGGGCAACGGCAGTGCTGGTGGTGGTTTGGTGGTATTGTGGATCAGATAAAGAGAGAGATCGGGGAATAAGGTTTTTGGCAATATTGATTTTTTGATGGTATGGGTGTTGAGAGTCCCCCCAACCCAACCAGGTCAGCAAATTTCCCCAAGGGTGCTCTACCCAAGTTTCTACAGTTTTAACTGAAACTTCTTGTTCAACGCACCCGTAAGTCTCTATTTTTATTATTATTATTATTTTTTTATTTCTTCACATCCCTTAATGTCCATTATTTCATATTATTTTTCCTTTTCTTCCCACCTCTCCTCGAAATCTGTAGGAGTATATTCATAATTGCATATATTTTATTATATATTATACTACAACAATTATTACCATTTATTTATTTCAGTTTACTCTGTTCATATAGTTTATTGTTCTTAATATTTCAATGTACTTACTGTTTATAATTTCAAAAAGTTTATTCACCTTGTTTATAATTTTTATCTAAATATTATGTAACTCCCACAATTTTCTATATCCTGTTGTATCTTGTCCGTTCTAGATCTGCAAAGTCAGGTCGAAACGTTGGCTGGAAATAAAATAGTTTTTCCAGTATTTTATTCTCTTTATGATTGCCTCCCTGGACCATCTCCTTCCTCTAAAATTATCTTATGTACTTGTGCTGTAACTTTTTTTCTCTTATTTACCTACTATCTTCCACCCATGATCACATTAATCACCCGGAATACTACATGAGAGCATTATATTAGTTTGAATGAATAATCTGCAGTGTTTCCAGAGTGAAGTGAAGTTTATAATGTTAGAGCAATTTTGAGAAAATTGTAAAAATGTGTATAACTGATTATATAAAGTGACACTTCTAGTTACCAAACATCTGTAACGTGTTGCCGCTTAAAACACACTCATTTTTCAACTTCTCGTTCAAGGTGTCATTCTATTCAACTTCCCGAGCCTAACAAATGCTGCAGTATACATTTTTAGGATTAACCCAACGGATTAGCTGGAAATCGGAAGAAAATCTAATAAAAATTAAAATTACCTCTCCCCCCTCACCCAATGTTATGAAATTAACCCCTCCCCCATAATACAATATCCATCTCAATAAAAGATTCTCAAATTTTAACTATACACCCGTAAACGATGGGTTCATCAGCTAATTACATATATAAGTGAAAGTAAAAAAATGTAATCCAAGAGCAGTGATCATTTTTTCTTATTTTATTTTTTTAAGGAAAATATAAAAGATGATAATTTTTTATCAAGAACAATACTAAAGAAAAACACAATCAATGTTTTATTTTTAAATTTGATTTTAGGGAAGTATCTGCTGCTTATGAAGATTTTCCAGATTACAGGTATATTCCAAATTCAAAATTTAGTAAAGTTCAAGCTTTTGCAACATCCAGTCACCAAGGTGCCTATGAGTGTCCTAACATGCCTCATGGTTTCTATATTCCTCACATATGCAGATATCTTGATAGTGACAAACCAGTTATTCAAGTTTTTGAACTTGCTCATCAAGGTAAAATTGCTTATTAAATAATAATGACACCTTTCTCATTTTCATGTTACTGATTAAAACTAAATAAGTTTAGCTGCTCAGAGATAGATTTCAGTGGCCAAAATCTGGCCAAAAGTATGCATGGAAATCTAAAACTAAGTGAATCATTACCAGCCCAAGTAAAAACTTGTTTTCAGCTGAGAAAATGTATTATTATTTTTAGAGACTCTTAAGGGATTCTTTCAGTTTGATTTTGTTATAAACAATTTAATATACTACTATTGACTCCTTGATCAAACTGCTCGCTAGGCAGAAAAAGATACTGTCAACTCATGAATAAGTTTCATTTCGCTATTTGACAATCACCCAGAGTGATTATGATTGGTGAAAAATTGAAAATTAAACAAACATTATTTTTTTATTATATATAAATATTATAATTAATATTGAATGTCATGCTGTCATCAGATCACTCAAATCATACCTCTTCCATCTCATCTGTACCTTTTCCTGTTCTAACCAGTTGAGGATCTTAGTCTTCTCCTGAATGGAAAATAGGAAGTATTTGCATAGCCAGTCACATAGTGGTGAATATTGTTGAATAATGTTTGCATTTAGGAGACAAGCGGGTGGAGTAATGGTGCTTTTGAAGAAGAAAATTGTCTTTGTGGTTAACCACCAATGATTTCTGGAATTGGACGTAAGTTCGGCTTTTTGATCTATTCTAATCAGAGTAAAAGATAGCAAGAAAATAACATTGATGACTCAAAAAAGTCACTGGCACTGGAAGATTCCACCTTTTGGTTTCATGAAATCGCCAGTCATATTTCAGAGAATACTGGTTAAGATGAGTAGATGATATCATTTGGATTAATTTTGTGTGATTATATAGATGGCATTTTGATATATTCCAAAATGTTTAATGAACACTTAAAACATAATAAATTAGTTTTTGAGATGGTTAAGCAAGGAGGATTTAAATTCAAATTAATGAAATGTTGCTTTGCGAAACTCTCCATCAAGTATTTAAGCCTCCTACATAAAAGCAGGAAAGTTTATCAAATTAATGATAATCTCACTGTGATTAAAAATTTTAGATGCCCCCTAACATGGAAGATGGTTCATCAGTGGTTACCAAAAATTAATTTCTGTTATAAATTTATTGATCTTTGGCCTAAAAAAATTGCACCATTACACACTTTATTGAAGAAGAATGTCAAATTTAATTGGAATGAAAATTACAAGAATAATTTTAATGAAATTAAACTTTACTTGTGCTTTAAAAAGCAAAATTGATGACGTAATGAGTGATTTAAAATTCTACTTATCCCGCTACTACTTTAAAATAATTTACAAGGAAGGAAAAAATAATGTGGAAGCTGATGCTTAATCCAGAAATCTAGTCCTGGAAAGTTTTCAAAATTAAGATAATTGTTTAAAAGTAGTTAATATCATCATATATCAAAGATGTAATGAAATATTAGGAAGCCCATAAAATGAAAATAGAAAAATAAAAAAACTTTATTAGAGGTGGTAAGATCATGTTTGAACTATTAAGTAACAGGTAGTGGGTTTACATGACCAAAAAGTTTGGTTTGTTCTTGATTGATAAAAGTTATTTTAAAATCCTTTTATTATTTCAAAACTTAGAATTTTATGATATGTCAGTATTTTAAGCAATACATGGTATGTGTAAATATTAAATTTTGATAAGGACAACCAATTGAGTTATTTTCAAAATTAGGACCAGAAAAATATTCATTTGAAATTATGTCCATTGATGCAATAGATTGTTTTGGTAGTAATAGATCAGCACACAAATACATGCATTTATTAGTGTATTGTTTTAAGAGATATGCTTGGATTTTAACGTTAAAAACGACAGATGAAAAATTATTATATTAAATTAATAGAATCAATTTCTAAAGAAAGTATTAAAATAATTTCAGTAAGATCAATACAGTGCTTTAAATTCATCTGAATTGAAAACTATATGTTAATCTTCACATCACTGGTTAACCCTCATTCCAATAGATTGAATGAACATCTGAATCAGACTTTAACGAATTTTATAGGTTGTTGATTGAATAAAAATAATGAAAGCAGACAGAGGAGGATAATAGCTAAACTATGCATAGAGGAATATAATAATACAATTCACAATACCTCAAAGTTTTCAATTGCTAATTTACTATTTGGACAAACAGAAATTTTACCGATTTCACAGAAAAGAGAACATGACTTTAAAGATAGAGAAGAAGCTTTGAAGAATTCACAAAGAAGTTTTGAACAGAATAAGAATAGAATTGATCACAATAGAGTATAAGTTTAAAGAAGGGAATTTAGTTTATATGCCAATATAAAGAAGCTGAACCAAAACAAATTAGATGAAATTAGATAAGGACCATTTATAATTAGAAAATGTATCTCTCAATGAATTTAAGAGATGAAGTGCCACAAAAAATATGATGAAGCAAATGTGGTCCATAGTAGGAAGTTGGTTCCTTATTCTTATTCCCTTTGATAAAAGACTCTCCAACCAGAGTAGGTGTAAACTCAGGAATCATCATAATAATGTCAAAATAGAATTATGTAGGCCACTTAGTGTTTTTTTTAAAGCAATGTATTGAAGGACTGTTAAACAATTGTTTTTTATTAAGATATAAATGTGTTTTGATGAAAAATTGTGTCTATGTTTAATAATTGATAATTAATAAATATTGTTTTTAGCTTTTTTTTAAATCCTTTTATCATTAAATAAATTTGACAAGTAGGAAAAAAAATTAATCAAATTGTTTAATGGTATTAAATATCAATTTCCTTGATTACTTTGTTTAATTCAATGTGAATAAAAGTTTATATGTATATATATATATATATAAATATAATATATATATATATATATATATATATATATATATATATATATATATATATATATATATATATATATATATATATATACTTCTTTGTGAATTCTTCAAAGCTTCTTCTCTATCTTTAAAGTCATGTTCTCTTTTCTGTGAAATCGGTAAAATTTCTGTTTGTCCAAATAGTAAATTAGCAATTGAAAACTTTGAGGTATTGTGAATTGTATTATTATATTCCTCTATGCATAGTTTAGCTATTATCCTCCATATGATAAAATCTATCGTAAAATCTTGCAATATAGCATTCAAAAGATCCGGCCATTTCAAAGGTCGAACTAGAAAAAGATCAGTACCTTGGTGGAACCCTGAACTAACTGGCTTGCGTAAAGAGACAAATCATCTAAGAAGAAATTACCAGCGGACAAAAGACGATGGACTAAGGGAATCAAGGAGAGTGATCTATCTCAAAAGTAGGCAAGCATATCAAAAGCTAATTAAAAGTTCCAAATTAAAGTCCTGGAAGACATTTGCTACTGCTTCAAAGGCGTGGCAATGGCCATATAAGTTTGTATCCAATAAAATAAAACCTCAAACCTTACTCACTACCACTTTGAATGAACTAGGAACATACACAACAGACACTAAGAATACATTATCTCATATATTAAATAAGATAATCAAAGATGACAATACAAGTGATGACACTAACGAACACAGCCAAATGAGAACAGAAATACTTATCACGCCTAATAATGACGATGACACTAATATCCGGGATTTTGAAATATTACAAGTTATTAATAAATTGGATGACAAGAAAGCACCAGGAATAGACAAAATTGACCCAAGAATGATAAAAAAGATAGCTGACTCCTTTCCAATATTGATAACTGGACTTTATAAAACCTTATTCAAAAGAAATGAATTTCCTAAAAGCTGGAAGGTGGGTAAATTAACATTGATTCCTAAGGCTAATTCATTTTCACTGAGACCACTAAGTATGCTTCCTGTAATGAGTAGAATTTTTGAAAAAATAATAAAAAATAGATTAATGCATCATCTACTTAGTAACAATATACACCACCGACACCAATTTGGATTCAGACCCCAATCAGGAACTGACGATGCTCTCAGTGAATTGAACGACCATATCACCAGTACACTCCGGCAAAATAGTAATTTACTGGTTGTTTCTTTGAATATCTCGGGTGCCTTTGACAATGTTTGGTGGCCTGCGATTTTAAATAATCTAAAGAAATATAAATGTCCAAAAAACATATAAAAAATCATTCAAAATTATTTTTCTGACAGAAAACTTGCAATCCAAACAAACTTTCATTATATTGACAAGAAATTGACGCTAGGAACTCCTCAAGGATCAGCACTATCACCTATACTATGGAACATCTTAATAAATACTGTTTTCGAAATAGACCTACAGGAAAATTCAACATTATTAGCATACGCAGACGATTTATTATTACTTATAAAACGAAGAGATTTCAATGAATTACAGACAATAGCAAACATAACATTATCAAGGCTGAGACAATGGACTAGAAGCAACAAACTTAAACTTAATCTAGACAAGACAAAATATATAATCTTCACAAAAAAGAGAATTGTACCAGAATTGGATATTCGACTCAATACAGTAAGAATAACGCAATGTGATAAATTTCATATTTGGGGCTTCTCTTTGACAGAAAACTGAATTGGAACAGACATATAGATAATCTATATGACAACACTTTAAGGATTATAAATGGACTGTCAGTGGCTGCAAGAGCGACATGGAGACTCAGAGCAGAAGTGTTAAAGGAAATTTATGAAGCTGCTGTACTTCCTAAGATGCTCTACGCTGTGCATGTCTGGCATCTGGCCGTTGAACGTAAGAAAAATTTGGTGAAGTTGGAAAGGCTTCAGAGGTTAATTGCGATTAAGATATGTAAGGGTAATATCATATATATCATCTGTGTTATTATTTTCTTAAAAGTGTATACTAGTGCAAATAGCTTTAAGTGCCTTGTCATAGTATTAATTGTTTTGTATATAGTTTCGTTTTTTTTATATAGAATGTTTACCTTATATTTTTTTTACATTATTTCTTTTTTTCGATTGATTTTATTTTGGCCAGATGTGATCTGTTAATTTTGTTCTATTTTGTTATTCTCAAGCTACTGTGTCCCAGAATAAAATTATTTTTCTATCTATCTATCTATCTAAGGGCTATCGTACACTATCATTCGATGCCACAATATTATTGGCAGGGCTGTTGCCAATCCAAATGAAGATTGAAGAATGAACGACCTTATATAACATTAGAAAAGGAAAGAGAGGATACAAAGACCTGACTCTGGACAAAATAGAAAGAATCACTGACTGTAAATCTTGGTTACACCCTGCAACAAGTTTATGGACTGGACCAAGAATTACTTCTGAAAATACTGATGTTTTCACTGATGGTAGTAAGGACGGCGAGAATGTTGGATGTGCATGGTTGTTCAGAGCTCAAGATGGTAGGAATATAGAACATCAATATAAATTAGAATCATATTGCTGAAATAATCAGGCAGAAAAATTCGCTGTTTTAAAGGTGACTGAATACATATATGAATACTCTCTACAGACGAACACTCACCTTACTATAAATACAGACAACAAAGTTCTGCTAGACTCTGTTAATAATTGGGACATTCATGATTACTTGACTGACCAAATTAGAAACAAATTGTTAATGATGAGAACTGTAGGGAAAGTAGTGACTCTAAAATGGGTAAAAGCACATTGTGGGATTGAGGGCAATGAACGAGCCGATTGCCTTGCAAAAGAAGCAGCTAAAAGCGATTTGCCGCCATCGTATCATCAAGCTCCTTTATCGTATATTAATATTAATTTAAACTTGGATTTCATCAAAGGATGGGATCACATATGGGTGACCTCAGCTAAGTCACCAAGCTTACACAGATTTATACCACACATTTCAATTCACAATTACAGACACATTCACAGTAATGACTACAAACTTACGCAAGTACTTACGGAACATGGGAATACAAAACAATATCTTAAAAGATTCAACATTATACAAACAGACTTATGCGATGAAGACGGACAGATTCAAAATTTTAAACATATAATATATGAATGTAAACGATTTGACAGACAGCGATTTGAGTTAATAAAAAGCATACTTATCAAAAGAGGAAATTGGCCTGAGACGGAACAAAAGTTATTTACTGAATTCAAGACAGACTTTCTTAGATTTATTAGATCGATCGACTTCGACTTACTAACCAGGGATGGGCAGCGTGGGTGATTTCTTTTTGGCTTTGTTGGATTGACTTTGTGTGTTTAATATTTAATTTTCCGATTTAATTTTTGTGTGTTTATTCTTTGTATTTTTGTTTGTTAATGTATATAAATTTGAACTAAAAATGTATATCATGTGAAACTAGAAAAAAAAAAACAATTGTAAACAAATGTAATTCATGTAGTATGTCTTTAAGGCATGGAGCATGAAGGAAAATCAAATAAACGATCCTTGTGTGGGGTTACCACGTAGGGAAAAAAAAAAAAAAAAAAAAAAAAATATATATATATATATATATATATATATATATATATATATATATATAGTGTGTGTAATATTTGGATTTTAATATTTTCAAAGTGTTTTAAATATATGTAATGTAAAAAATTTAATTATAAAAACTTTCTAATTAAATTAAACAAATCTTTTGCTAATTGATGATTTTTGGACTTCATTGCCTGTACTATTTCATTTAATACTAACAAACATTATTTAACTTATTAACTTGGTTAGTTATTAAAATAGATGAATTATGTATAAATTTGCTTTAAAAATGCATGTATTTTCCTATTTAAAAAAAAATCATCGATGTTACTGATTACTTTAAGAGGTTCATTAGTCTTTTTGTAAAAGAATTATTTTAAACATATAAAAATAAGAACTGATTCTTAAAGAAAAAATTGTGTTTATTTTTTTATTTAATTTCAGAATTTAGGAAAAATAAAGTGGTAGAACTTCAAAAACCTTCTCTTAGTTATAATACAGATCTGACTTTTAAGCTCACAGACCCTGTTGAAGGTAAGGCTTCCTATTTCCGATATTTTATTTTGTAATTATTTAGTTCTGTGAACTCCAGTCCTCATACAAAAAACAAATACAAAAAAAAAAAAAAAGCCAAATTTGAAATAATCAAACTACACATATGGTTGTAATGATGAAGCAGACATATGAAATGCTAATGATTACATGCAGTTGAGTTGCTACTTTGTGCTCAGAAACACTTTTGTGTCATTTATTTTCTAAATAATTATATTATTAAAGTATAATCAAATGTGATACATCAATAATCCACCCAAGCCTTATCAAATAATGTGTCAGTGCTGAATTTTATTTTGTTAGTAACATTAATACCTTAAGAAGACTTAACAATTAGAGTACCATTAGAAACATATTCATAAAGTTGAGCATTATTAGAATAAATTTCAATACAACTAATTTAGTTGTATTTCTGTTGAACAAGCAATTAAACTATTAACTGTTACTCATCACCAAACAACTAATTTTCTTATTACTATGAAAAGTTGGTTGCAGTCCTAACTGGCCCATTTATATATAAAACTATAATTATTATTTATGGGGATGTTTTAGCAGTTAATTTTTAATTAAGGAGTTTAGCCTGTCAACTTAAATAGTTTCATTCATTGTGTTTAAGTCTCCCTTTTAAAGAAAGTTTGAATCTGTTTTATTTAATTACATTTTTTCCAGGATGAGGAAATAGATATCCTAAATCCTTTTAGTAACTATTTTCCACTTCTGGTTTTACTGCTTCATATCTTTCCATTTGTTTGAACTTAGTCCTGCCTATAATTCTATATAATCTTTTATTATTTGTCAATTAATGTAATTTTTATCCAACAGCTGAAGTTCTATAAATATTTATATTTCTTTAAATTGTCTTGTTAATTTTAATCATATTTTTAATTTTAATTTTTTTTGTTCTTAGAAAATGTATACTCACAAGACAGGATTAATCCATTTGTTGACATAAGGGACAATTTAAAATATGAGCATGAACTATTTTTCCCCGAAGTAAATTTGAATACAACTTTATTTGCAACACCACACAGAGGAAGGATTCTTAATGCTATTGATATGAAATTCACACAGACTATTTTGAATAAATACAATGTGTCTTTAATTGCTAGTCCTGAGGTAATTAAATTATTTATAACGTTTTTCTAGTTTTTTAAAATAATTGTTCAACTTCTTTTTTTTTTCAAGCTGTTAGTTATTAGAATGGAGGGGTCTCAATCCAACTGGTAATCTGTTTATGGTATTGAATTATATTATATCATATTATATTAAAGTATTGAATAGGATCCAGAATTTTGAAATAACTAGAAAATTCTTATTACTGAAGTTTCAAAAGGAAAAAACAAATGCTATCTGATGGCCCCTAACTTAAAAATCTGAGTGTCAATTTAATCAGTAATCATCATCATATTACAATAATAATTTTGTATACATTTATTGATTAATTTTATACAGAAACCATACTTTCAATATTTCTCAATACAGTCTTCTGCGTGATCTACACACTTATGGGGACTGATTTGAAAGCTTGAATATTCCTTGTTCTTGAATAGTTTGAGATAGATCATGCTCTTCACTATCCTAAAAGTCAATGCATGGAAAATCAACATTTTTCATTTACTAGCTTACATACTATTAACACATTTTTTAAAAATATTATCCATCTAATGAGAGAAGAATGAAGTGTAATCAAATAAAAAAAAGATAGCAGTAAGCAATCGAAAACACTGACCGAATACTGACCATAAACCATGCAATGTGGTTTCCAGTGGAAGTCCTGTCAGTGTTACATCTAGTGTTACAATAACAGTGGACAGTTGGTCCTAAACACAAACACCAGTATCCGACACTGATGGCAGAGATGTCAGGAATCAACATGAACTAATATTTTATAATAATATTCTAAAGGAACCTCTAGGAAGAATTACAGCATTAATAGAAGGAACTGAAAGTGTAAAGGGATCAAAAATAATTATTAAAAATTTTAATTGTTATATAATGTTGTCTGTAAAACATTTTTTTCCTTAATCTTTTATTAGGATATTATAAAAATTAACAGTAGACAGATTTAGATTTCACAATGAATTGTCAATTATCAGAGGTAGACCAGCATATAACAAGTGCAGAAGTTTTTTTTTCTCATTTTCATTGGTATTGAGATCTCTCTTAAAATCTCAAACTAAGAGTATGCAATACGATGATAAAACCAGTTCTGATATAGAACTTAGATATATAGACTCTAATTAGTACCCTAGTTAGAAGAACAGAAAGATTTGTGAAGATAGTCCTTCTCACGATAATCAGAGCAATCTGGGGCCAGAGTGCTAACCCATAGAGGAAAATTACCAATAAAGAACTCCTTAAAGAAATTATTTTGTGAATATTTATGTTATGAAGATAAGGATGTTAACATGGATAGAATATGTAGCCTGAATCCATCAGGAATCTTCTACACAATGATGAATGTCACAGTGATTGTTAACCCTTTAACAATAGTGGACTCATATAAGAGTCGAGGCGGAAACGGGTCCAGGTGATGGTGGATTCATAGATGATTCAAGATGAGACCATGCCCTGGTGATGGACTCATATATGAGTCGAGAACCTGTCAGGCTCTTTTTCTTTAAATGATTGGATGCCATAGGCAATTGTCCCTCCCCACCACCATTGAAAATGTTGAGGTTGCGAGAATATCGTTTTGGGTCCCACTCTAATAAATTGAGGTAAAAAAAAATTAAAATCTATAATAAATAAGCTGCATGAATGAATAAAATGTGTAAACTAAAAGCGATTAAGAAAAGTTGACTAGGGTGGCTAGGCTAAGGCCTAATAGTACGTGTGTAACTATTTTATTGATACCTAAATGTTATTTTTATTTAAACTGTCATTTATATTCAAAGATAATAATAATGTATATCAACATATCCTAGGGTTTTATGATTCAATCCCCCCTCAATTTTCACTTGATATTCTCAAGTAATATCACATTTTCTGCTGCAAATTAGTTCAACTGTAAAAAATATTGTATTTTTATTTGAGACTGTACAAATTAAAAAATCAAAGATTTTTTTCACTTTTTACTCAATTAAGAGAAGCAAAACAAGGGTTGTGTGTTTAGGTCATCCACTAAAAGCTATGTAATGCTTTTTGAAACGAATGGCTGGATTTTTTTAAAATTTTGATAGCTCAAATTATTGGGTGAAATCCGCTGATTCTTTTAAAACAATATGAGTTAAAAATACTTGCCTGGTATGAAATAAAATGTGTTTAATCAATTTGCAAAAAGTGTAGTAATGATTTTTTAAACGAGCAACTGGATTAATTTTTAAGTTTGATGGCTCACAATATTTGGTGAACTCTCCTGTGTGTTTTTAAACAATTTGAGCTAAAAACACTGAACCATGATTAAATAAAATTCTAGCAAATTACTGTGTAAAATGTGTTTAATCAATCCGCTAAAAAGGTGCAGATTTTTAACTTTAGCAGCTTTAATTACTCAGTGAGATCCCATGAAATCTTGTAAACAATTTTAACACAAAGTTGAGATTTATCAAGAAAAAATTTGTGATTCACCAGAAGTTATGTAAAAACATTATGAGATTTGATATCATGTTACTTAAAAGTAACCATATTTTTAGCAAAAATTACTACAATAAATTATTGAAAAGCTTTAATTTATTTATTTTTTCCATGATCTGGGATGTATTATGATAAATATAAATGAATAAGTACACTTTTATATATACGTATATATATATATATATATATATATATATATATATATATATATACATATATATACATATATATAATATATATATTATTAATTGGGAATAAGGTCAATTATTAATTATTTAATAAACTACTGAATGTTCATTTCCTCTGTTTATTGACGTTTCGATCCCGGTATTTTTCTTTTTATAAGTTAACAATGGGATCCTCTTCAAAGCTAGAACAACAAATAGCTCAATCGGTACAGAATTATGCTTCCATAGGTTTTTACTAACAATTATTTCAAAATTTTAACCTAATTTTAAATATAGAGCTTCAATCAGCCCAGGGACACACCGACAGTCTCAGCAATGTCCACTAGCACATATATTAAGCTACTGGATCGCTAATCGTCTGTCCACCCCTGGCATTAGTATGTAATAATTTGTCTTCGGGCTCAGGACCGGGGTGGGCAGACGCTTAGCGATCCAGTAGCTTAATATATGTGCTTAAATATATCCCTCTACTTACGTGATATCCTGTATATATAATGTTGATGTACTTCCATATCTTCTTATTTCATCGTGAAATATAAATTTTTTTAATTATTAAAACTATCAATGAAGAATTTTGAGCATATATTCTATTATATTTGCACAAAACCTTGAGTCTCAATAGTTTATATGAAGAGAAAGAACCTTGAAACACCACATATTTTTTATAATCCTCAACCATAAAATTATTAAGTGTGAAAATCAGTTCACTGACTATCTTATATCAATATATTATAATCTTCCATTTTAATGAAAATCTTTAATTAATTCCTAATTCAAAATTGTGTTAAAGTTGAAAATTTAATAAGCATCTTGGGGTTGAAAATGCTTTTGAGTAAGTTAGCAAAATTTGAGATATTTATAGTTTTTTATTAGTAGCAAATATATTGCAAGTAATTACTATGGATATCATAATTACATTGTATAATAATTTAATTATAAAATATGATGTTAGTCTGCTGTAAAGCCATGTATTTGTCTTATAGATTTTAATTTACTATATATATTATTTTTTATTGATATTATAAAATCATTATTATTTTGGTTTGTTATAATAATTTGTTGTTTTTTAATGGAAAATACTTAAATGGTGATATATTTTTAGGATCTTGGTTATGCTTGGACACTATCCACTAAGGATAATGAGTCTTTCCTGACTCTGTATAACATACAGAAAGTAAAGGTATGCTCAATTTAAAATTTTAGATTAGTTATTTGAGATCATCATTTTACTGAAAACTAATCTTTACTAATGATTGACGAACTAATTTATTTAAATTATTGATAGAATTTAAATGTATTCACAATAATAATTAAATATTGTAACCTGAATATAATTTTTAAAAAATAACACCTGTCACATTATAAGTCAGAATTTTTAACTTTTCTTTTCCTATTATAATTTGTTTGTTAATTCTCCTTCTCTTTTTTTCTCATTTCTATTTCATCAGTTATTACTTACTAGTTTATCTCTAAAGTTTAAAATGTACTTTACTTTTTCACTGTTTCTTACATTTAAGAAATTTTATACTATACTAAGATAATTGTGTACTGACCTCTTTGCGAGAAGCATTATTAAAAATAAATGCATAAAAATATATGTTTTATATTCGTTCAAATTATCTAGTTAATTAATTAATGAACTCTGTAGCTTATTAAATTGTTGGTACTTTCTTCACATTTTGGTACTTCCTAACATTTTTGGGTACTTCCTTCCCTCTTTGCTGGAGACATCTTTAAAAGGATTTATATGAAAAATATATCTTTGATATTTGTTCAAATTACATAATAAACAATTTTAGTGTGTTTTCACTTAGGAGAGTAACTTCAAAGCCACAAGGGATACTAAAGGGCTGAAGAATTAGTGAGAATTCAAATCAAAACAATAACAATAAATGTTTTTCTAACGGAACATCTCATTCTGGGAAGGCAGTTTTTTAGATATCCAATGCTTTAGATAAGTTCTATTCCAAGAATATTCCCACTTAATTACTTCTTCCCTTTGTAATGTTAAATTAAAACCTTTGCTTGTCGCAGAATTATTAACGCTTGTCATTTTTTTCTTACCCAAATTATAAATTTAATATGGACAATATAGAAAAATAAAAGGATAAATATTTACACACGTATTTATTTGTAGTTATAAATCACCTAATTTAACCTCTTCTTCTTCTTCATGGGCGCTACAACTCATCGCTGAGTCCTGGCCTCCTCAATTAGTTTCACCCACTGGTCTCTCTCTCTCTTGCAGCTCTCCTCCAGTTAGCTAGTCCAAGAAGAGCTCTACCATCCGCTTCGACCCCATCCATCCAGCGCAATCTAGGTCTTCCAACTCTTCATTTTTTTTCTGGATGCATCAGCATAATTTTGCTGGTTGAGCTATTCTCATCTATTATGGTTACATGACTCGCACATTTCAAACGCTGTATTCTAATGATCCAGTATGGTGTCCAGGTCTGCATTACTCCACCTTCTCCAATCATTACTTGAGCGTACTGATCCATAAATGTGACATAGTACTTTTCTTTCAAAGACCAATAGCTTGTTTTCATCTGGCTTTTCGTTTGGAGAAGCTCCACGTTTCCGCTCTATATGTGAGGACAGGAAAAATCAGTGTCTTGTACAGAGCTGTTGTTGTTTTGCTGGAGATACCACTGCAGGCCAAAATAACATTTATTTGTCGCCAGGATCCTCTTACATATTTCCTGTGATACATTGTTGTCAGCATTTACTTGGGATCCCAGATAAACAAATTGTTGGACTGTTTCGATTGTGTAGTCACCAATCAAGATTTGTGGATGTAGTGCATTTATGCCAGCAACCATATACTTCGTTTTGCTCTCATTTATAGATAGTCCCATCTTCCGCGCCGACTGTTCGAGAGCTAGAAATGCCTACTGCAAAGTGATCTCCCGATGATATCAATACCGTCTGCGTATGCCAGGATATGTATAGACTTGTTAAAGATGGTCCCATCCAGCTGTATTCGCGCATCTCTGACAACTTTTTCAAGTGCCACATTGAACAGGAGGCAGTCCAATGAGTCACCCTTCCTTAACCCTTTTCTTGTACAGAACTCCTCTGACACCCCAGCTTGGATTCTCACTTTATATTCCACCGTGTTCATTGTGAGTCGAGCTAGGCAGATTAGTTTTTTAGGGAACTTCAGTTCATACTAATTTAACCTAAAAAAGGCAATTTAATGCTACAAAAATCAAAATCGTGCAATTTTGGCCAAAAACAACAAAACGTGCAGTATCAAATTTTGACATGTTATTCTACAGACCATGAGATGGATAGATAATCGGGTTTGAAATTTTAACATGTAAGTGAATAAAATGTGCAATAACATGGAAATCCGGTCTCTACTTATTAATTAATGGAAGCACAATACTTGTAATGTAGTACAACAAAGGGTTTTTAATATATCACAGTTTTATAATAAATCACAGTGAGCGTTTTGCTTTCTCATTTTTTATTTATTAGTTATATGACTAATTATAACTAAATTGCTAATAATATGAAATATTACAGAAGTCAATGTAGGCTGGTAATGGGATCAAATTCCCTAAATATTTTGAAAATCATGAATTGACAAATTAGTGATGTAACTAACAAATAAAAAATAAAGAAATAAAAAACTCATTGGAGTTTATTATAAATTCCAAAAGAATTTCACGAGATATAAAATTAAATGTATTACCTAAAATATATACTAACTGTGCCCCACTGTTGGTATATGTGTCACCTACACTATACAAACCACAAAAATTGACAAAATTTAGGTTCCTGATACACACGACTTTCATATAATTTCTCATTTCTTCCTTATATTGTCCTTTCATTCTACTTATGAAATGGATATTTTATGAGCTATATTTTCTATTCAGACTATCCTACTTTCTATATCTATAACGTATATCTCTGAAATATATATTGTATACTAATATATATAACAGAAGTGGTTGTTTGTTTTACGAAGCTCATTTCAGGATCTACCAATCTGATTTGAAACACTGATTTTGTATTAGATATATTCTTTAAATATGTATATGTACACACACACACATATATATATATATATATATATATATATATATATGATATATAAGCATATCAAAAGCTAATTAAAAGTTCCAAATTAAAGTCCTGGAAGACATTTGCTACTGCTTCAAAGGCAATGTAAGTTTGTATCCAATAAAATAAAACCTCAAACCTTACTCACTACCACTTTGAATGAACTAGGAACATACACAACAGGCATTAAGAATACATTATCTCATATATTAAATAAGATAATCAAAGATGACAATACAAGTGATGACACTAACGAACACAGACAAATGAGAACAGAAATACTTATCACGCCTAATATTGACGATGACACTAATATCCGGGATTTTGAAATATTACAAGTTATTAATAAATTGGATGACAAGAAAGCACCAGGAATAGACAAAATTGACCCAAGAATGATAAAAAAGATAGCTGACTCCTTTCCAAAATTGATAACTGGACTTAATAAAACCTTATTCAAAAGAAACGAATTTCCTAAAAGCTGGAAGGTGGGTAAATTAACATTGATTCCTAAGGCCAATTAATTTTCACTGAGACCACTAAGTATGCTTCCTGTAATGAGCAGAATTTTTGAAAAAATAATAAAAAATAGATTAATGCATCATCTACTTAGTAACAATATACACCACCGACACCAATTTGGATTCAGACCCCAATCAGGAACTGATGATGCTCTCAATGAATTGAACGACCATATCACCAGTACACTCCGGCAAAATAGTAATTTACTGGTTGTTTCTTTGAATATCTCGGGTGCCTTTGACAATGTTTGGTGGCCTGCGATCTTAAATAATCTAAAGAAATATAAATGTCTAAAAAACATATACAAAATCATTCAAAATTATTTTTCAGACAGAAAACTTGCAATCCAAACAAACTTTCATTATATTGACAAGAAATTGACGCTAGGAACTCCTCAAGGATCAGCACTATCACCTATACTATGGAACATCTTAATAAATACTGTTTTCGAAATAGACCTACAGGAAAATTCAACATTATTAGCATACGCAGACGATTTATTATTACTTATAAAACGAAGAGATTTCAATGAATTACAGACAATAGCAAACATAACATTATCAAGGCTGAGACAATGGACTAGAAGCAACAAACTTAAACTTAATCTAGACAAGACAAAATATATAATCTTCACAAAAAAGAGAATTGTACCAGAATTGGATATTCGACTCAATACAGTAAGAATAACGCAATGTGATAAATTATCATATTTGGGGCTTCTCTTTGACAGAAAACTGAATTGGAACAGACATATAGATAATCTATATGACAACACTTTAAGGATTATAAATGGACTGTCAGTGGCTGCAAGAGCGACATGGAGACTCAGAGCAGAAGTGTTAAAGGAAATTTATGAAGCTGCTGTACTTTCTAAGATGCTCTACGCTGTGCATGTCTGGCATCTGGCCGTTGAACGTAAGAAAAATTTGGTGAAGTTGGAAAGGCTTCAGAGGTTAATTGTGATTAAGATATGTAAGGGCTATCGTACACTATCCTTCGAGGCCACAATATTGTTGGCAGGACTGTTGCCAATCCAAATGAAGATTGAAGAACGGACGACCTTATATAACATTAGAAAAGGAAAGAGAGGATACAAACACCTGACCCTGGACAAAATAGAAAGAATCACTGACTGTAAATCTTGGTTACACCCTGCAACAATTTTATGGACTGGACCAAAAATTACTTTTGAAAATACTGATGTTTTTATTGATGGTAGTAAGGACAGGGAGAACGTTGGATGTGCATGGTTGTTCAGTGCTCAAGATGGTAGGAATATAGAACATCAATATAAATTAGAATCATATTGCTCAAATAACCAGGCAGAAAAATTTGCTGTTTTAAAGGTGACTGAATACATATATGACTACCCTCTACAAACAAACACTCACGTTACTATAAATACAGACAACAAAGTTCTACTAGACTCTGTTAATAATTGGGACATTCATGATTACTTCACTGAACAAATTAGAAACAAATTGTTAATGATGGGAACTGTAGGGAAAGTAGTGACTCTAAAATGGGTAAAAGCACATTGTGGGATTGAGGGCAATGAACGAGCCGATTGCCTTGCAAAAGAAG